ATTGCTTTGAGTTCTGGTGATTTAGCATCGATACTCATGTTGAACCACCAAAGATTTCGGCCAAGAATATGAGAGGTTGCCCTCTTCAGTTGCCATGAGTAGAAAGGAAGGAACTGTCAATGGTCAATTTAAGTACCTTTTTCTTTTTTTCTTTTTTTTTCCTCCACATAATAAGAAGTTTGATTAATAATCCATTCGAATGGAAGTCTCTTAAAGGGATTCAGCTGTTCTATTCAAGTCAATTTGCAGTGAACTCTGAAAAGCACGAGTGCACTTGCGGTGTCAGAGTGGTTACAAGGCACCTGCCCCCATAACGTACATGCTGTCTCTTCGGAGGGAACTCTGTCAAGTGTAGCACACATGCATTGGCTCTTCCTGACACATTACGCATGATGACATCTGTTGACACTTAAAGTATTGTTAACAGCAGAGATCAGAAAGGCATGGCATGTGAAGGCAGTTGTGGCTGCCAGTCCCTCAGATTGAATTACATGGCAAGCTTGGAAATCTTTATTAGCCTGTGTAGGGTGTCAAAATTTAGGTAACTTGACAAGGCTGAGTGAGGAGTTTGTGGTTAGAGAGCTTAAGGATTTTTGACTGCCAAATTAAGGGCAGATGTTTCACAGTGGGAACTCCAGAGCAATGGATATGGGAGCAAAAACCGCTGCAATGATGTGTGCTCTCCTTCTCAGGGGACCTTCATGTCTCCTTGAGCCTTCTGGCTATCGTGAAAAAGACGTTACCAGGAGAACTGAGTTCTTCAGAACTTCAGGAAAGCAGAAAAGTGTCACTGGGAAAGGTCAACAGGCTGACAATGAAAAGAAAAGGAAAGATGTCCCAACACTTGGCTAGTCTCAGTGTGAATGATTTCACTGAAAGCATGTTGATAATGATGTGTTGGACCCTGCAAGTAGCAGTATGCTACTAATAAACTGCTACTTAAAAGGTCAACTGCCTGGAGGGCTGAAAACTTGAACTGCTCCAGGAAACAGGGACTGTGGAGCAGACTTTTACAGGTGCCATTTAGCAGTTAAATGTAGATATGACTGTGTCAGCAGTCACAAATTAAAACATTTAATAAGGTAAACAAATCCCTATTACCTCTTGAGAAACCCCTACCAAAGTTCACAATCTGCAACTTTTAATCTAATGGTGTCTTTATTTTCTGAAACATTCTCTTATTTAAACAGAGAAAATGTTGCTGCGAAGTAGCAGTTTATTTCTTCATAACAAACCTCTGTGATCTTTTGTCTGTGGTTTTCCCAGGAAGAAAAAAAAACCTGTCAGTAGTTAGAAAGCCTGTTAGGCTTTCTCTAAACAGAATTCAGAAAATTGTATTCCTACTTGTATTCATTTTATTTTTTACTTGTCATCAAGGCATCATTTAGTGTTTTATCTTGGCTTTTCCTTTTTTCATATTGCTGTTGTATTTCAGCATTACGGTAACTCCTACCGAAACCACAGATAAATTGTATTGCTTAGCTAGTGGACTTCCTCCTAAACAGAATAGGCTGACTTTAAATTAGCAAATGAATTGGTAAAATACAATGTTTTCTCATTTCTGTTCCTTTTTATGTGCTATCAAACTGCAGCTTTGTGGCTGCCAGTGCCTCCAAAACGCATAGGCGATTTATAATATGGAGCTGGCATTTTCCTAATGATACACATTTCTGTAATTACTATTTTTTCTTTAATGAAAATAAAACCTAGGTAGTGATTACAAAATAAAGTAAGTGCAGATAATTGCTCATTTCAGGTTAGTTCCAGCTTATTCATGCCATTAGCATAACAGCCATAAAACTATATTCTTGTTATCCTTCTCTCCCTGCTTAGAGTCTCTCAAATTAATTTTAGTGCGGAAGTCAATTTTGAAAGGCCTTCCTGGGGAAGACGGATTAGGAAAGCCACCTTGCCAGCAACACTTTACAGCTTCGACTTAAAAGTAAAAGCAGCAATTTATATTCCAGCAGCTCTTAGCCAAGCTCCCAAACCTGTGCCTGTGTTTCCAGCAAGAAATTTCCTTTCCCTTTTGCCCACTAAAACTTTTTCAGGGTTAAGCCCAAACCGGGCTATGGCAAGGAGTATCCCTTCCTGACGGCCCTAGGGCGGCTGCCTCTGGCTGCCTCAGACCGGTCCTGACCGGCCTCTTCTGGCGCCACCCCCAGGACAGGGCCAACCCGCCCCCCCCCCCCCCAACCCAGCCTCAGTGCCGCCATTTTGTGCCCTGTTCACCCTCACCCAGTGATGAGGAGGGAGGGGGGAAGCGATGGCCAACACTGCCCAGACAGGGAGGCATGGTCCCTGGAATGGAGCAGCCACCTGTGCTGATCGGTGGCTGTCACCCCAGCAGGGCTGGCCAGGCCTGGAGGTAGCTGAGTGCCCCGACATGGCCACAGTCCGTTCCCTAACATGGCCGCAGTCAGAGCCCAGACATGGCCACAAAGCAGTGCCTGGCTAAGCCTTGGTCCCTCTATGGGGCAGCAGCACATGCTCAGGCACTGCTGACTTTGAATATAGACCTGGAATGAAATTTCCATCTGATCCCAGGAAATAACTAGAGTGAGCAAAAGTGCCAACATTCCTTAAAAAAAAAAAAAAAAAAAAAAAAAAAAGTTTTTCAACATCTGGCTGTAGGTGTAACCATAAATATGTGAGGCACCACAGCCCTCTGCCTGGGAGAGCTTCGTGGAAAGGTTGTCGGAGCCTGCTGAAAGCCTGCAAAAATCAACATTGGGAGTATTCACAAGTTAAAGAAAATTTAAAATAATTAACTGCTACCCTTGAAATACATAGTGCAAGCATTATATGGAAAGTTATATTCTTTCTTCCTTTTTTAACTTGCCCTCCTAACTCCTCTTTTAAAATAAGTTTAAGTTATAGTCAAAATATATAATTTCTGGACAGTGACTTTATAATAGCTACCCACCAGACATAGAACATTATTGTTTTTATCCACACAAATCTCTCTAGTGATTTTTATCATATTATGTGTGCTAATTATACTTGTTGCTATAATAATATGATTTCATGCAGTTAGTATACTTCATAATGTATGATAATTCAGACTGTGCACCAGTGTGCAATGCAATTACATTAATTACCCAAATAAACTCTAATCAGCCAAAAATAGCTATGGTACCAAGACTGTGCTTGTATTAAAAATGAAAATTGTGAATTCAGAAAATTGCAGACTTGTGCAGTCAAGCACAATGGGAATTTCATTATGTTATCTCAAAGTTTCTAGGGACATCAAAGAGAAGATTGATTAAAAAAAAAAAAAAAAAAGATTCTGCTCCTCTAATTTTATTATTGTGAGACATGAAGTCCCCCAAAAAATCAGAGTTGTGTTTAGTCGTTCTCAGACAAATATAAGGTAAAATATGGAGTATGGTATGAGTATAAGATGAGTAAGTTTTGGGAAGAAGCAAAATTACAATCCTTGTTTTACAGAGAGGAGAGGAATAGGCAAAAGGATATGAAAAGAGGAGACCCAAACACTTTCTACTTGATTTTCAGTCTGTTGCCTTACTGTAGAATCATTATTCCTTTTTAATTTTTTTTTTGTTCTTTTCAGTTACTATTAGATAAATTTAGGTGTGTTATATCTCATTGATTAACCTGTCCCACAGAAGAACTAAAATCTTTTGTTTATTGTAGTAACTGAAGATAAATCGCTAAGATAAATCTTAACGATTCAGATTTTGATTACCAGTAGGAAATAGGTATGTGTGGAAAAAAAAAAAAAAAGGTTTTTTGAATGATAGACGTAAGACATTTAATCTTTTGTGAGGTGAAAGTACAACAGCATCACTGTATTTTCTTCTTAGTTGCACCTGATGAAAAATCACTGATTTTTGAATCAACGCTTGTCCATGCAGCGTGTTGGTCATTGCAGAAGAACTGAGCTGTGATTAGGAGCAGTCTGCTTCTTCACCACTTTCCTTTGATGATATGAATATTTATCCCCTGCAAAGTGCATTGAGATCACCAAGCATATACATCTACCGCACCTCCTTTTCAGATTTGGAAACTCTGGCTTAACATATAATTATTATTGTCTTACTTGCCAGCTTTCAAAATATTTGGTACTCCTATGATTTACTGTCACTTTTTCCTAATCTCTTGTTCCTTATCTCTTGAGCAGCTGCTGTTATCTCAGGAATTCTTGTCTGATTTTCTTGTGAGGTTGCATTTGCAGCTCCAGCTGGTAACTCGGCTGAAGGTCTCACTTGCCACTGCCGCAAACTCCTGTTCTCAGACTACATATTTCCTGGTAGCAGCTCAATCAGATTTGTTCTTTCCGTACAGAAAGGAAAAACAATTTGGAATTGGCCAAGAGAATTCCAATTAGAGACATCCTCAAGAAAGATGGATGGTTTGAGGGACCATCCATCATTGTAGCAATATTACTAGTCAGCTTTCTCCCATACTGAACTAGTAATTGCTAGTGAACATGATTTCTTTCTACTCACTACCCTTTTTTACCTATTTCTCCCAGCTGTGTAATTGGGCAGGACAGGTGAACAAGGGTAGAAGATGATGACATGCATAACTTGTTCTGAAAATTATGTGGGTGACAATTTTTAAAACTAATTTAGGAAGATTACTCTTTTATATATATATGGGAATGTGTTGGCATTGATTTTAATCTGTTCTAATCTGTTAATAGTAGTATATTGATTTTTTTTCAGCTGGTAACTAGAATCCAATTTCTTGGCATTCACAGTAGTATTTTGGCAAGGAATTGTATTATGTGGAAAAAAAAAAAAAAGTCCATATGACCTTCAGAGTCAGTCCCACTGCTTGTGGCTAAGCAAGCCCATTAAATAAAGCAGGCTGCTGTCCGAGGGTCCTGACCAATACTCAGGCTCATGCATCTTGCTCATCTGAGCCGTCAGGAGAATTACCCAACCTAAAACCATAACCTTTATCTTCTTGTATATGCCTGAATAATTCTCTGTTTCTGGTGTTGCTCTACCAGTTAATTCATGCATGGAGGGCATAGGCAGTTTGCTTCTATGGGACCTGTGCAACTTGGGTGGRTTTGTGACTGTGCGACTGATACATTCCTGAAGATCCCAGATAGGCAACAGTAGATTATGAATTCCCTTGATGTAAGTGTGATAGGGAATTGAGAGTGTAATGGGAGCCATTGTCACACACCTGAAGAGAAAGAACCTGGTGTCTGCTGGCTTGGTGTGCATGTCTCAGTAGATTACTGAGATTATATTACTGAGTAGATTATAAAAACATCTTGGCTTGCAGCTTAGTGAAAGATAAGGTTGAGTTCTTATAAGGGTAGGAATATCAATGGTGAACATTCTTGGGGTCTATTTTCTCTGTATTTCTTAAAACCAGATTTCTCCAAGTTTATGGATTCTCTATACTGTAAAAGTAGGTAGAACTAGATCCCTGTAAGTTTGTAGTATGACATGAGGAGCAATGATGGGAAGGGATTTCCTAGGAATCTGCAAGAATCTGTGGCTTTTCATCTCCCAATAGGAAATGATGCCTTTTTGTTTATGCATAAAGCCTTAGTACTTGGTGACGGAGATTGTAAGTACATGGTTGCAATGAGAATCCAAGTAATTTTGTCATAGGTTCTTCATATAATATGTGGAAGAGAATTTACAGAGCCATGACCAATAAATGTGCTATTCAGGGAGCTGACAGAAGAATCAGGATTTTCTCTTGATAGCAGAGCACTGTCATGGCTTGCTACTCCTTTCAAAGAATAATTTGGTGGTATTTTGGGAGAGGAGGTGCAGTGCTACATGATGGAAATATCAACAAATTTGGCAACAGACGGGACAACACTTACCTTTACTGCACAGGCATCTTCCTCTACAAGATTTTTCATTGTTACTATAAGGAGCATTTAAAGACACGTTTACTGTATATTTAAGGAAAATTACAAGGTATGACTTGAACGAGCTCCTCCTAAGTGCGAGACTTGCCTTGTAACTATTGTGGAGCCACTGAGGTGTGAAAAGAAGCTTGCTTAGACTATAAAGATATTGGTTATAGTGTTTACAGTGAAGATCCAGATCAKGTGCTCTGGTCACAGAGCATTGGATGTTCCACCTCACACCTCCCAGTTTCCATAGCTGATTTTCAAAAGAACTTCAGAAGAATCAGTTACTTCACATTGCTGTGAGGTGTGAGCAAGAAAAATTGAAACTCCCAAGGGTGTTTCAAGGGTGGTTTTTCTTGGTCTTGAAAAATTCTCTCAGAAACAGTGGAGAAGACTAAAATACGAATTATTAAGGCCATTATCTTTCTCCTTTAAGACTGTATGCATTTTAGGAGTTGTTATTCTTCATCAATACATACCAGATGTGTGGGTAATACTTTTTAATGCCCTCCCAAGTGTTTCTGCATATATCTTGTTCGGGAGAAGACCCCATAGGGCCTTAATTTTCACCGTTTTGCCAATTGCTTCAATGGGAGTGGAGTCAAGCTTGTAGGGTGGGTATTTGCTGTTGTTATAGAAGTCAGGCAAAATTTCCTTTTAAAGATTTGATTATTTTAGAAGACAAGTTATTTGTAGTCTTCTAAATATCATCTTTCTTCAAAATTTGTTGAAAAATCAAAAAATTCCCCATGATGAGATCCTTTTGCAGTGGTGAGGAGTTRATTTGTCCTGTTGATGGTCTCTGGTGATGGAGACATCTGTATTAAAAGAACTGATGAGCTGGTTGTTCTTACTGACTGTTCCTAGAAATCATTGTTAATGCAACTTTAAAGCAGGATAAATTGTGCACTGTAGAAAAAGGCTGTACTTGTCAACCAACCAGTCTGTCAGCGTTTGTGTGGAAAACACAAGTTGTAGGAAGAGTGTGATGCCATCCAGTGGCACAGGAAGGAACAGTGCAGTGGCAGCTTTCTGGAAGAAGGTGCTTTTGCAGCACAAACCAGTAATAACTTATATGGAAGGCTTGACTTTGCAGAAAGTTGTTTTCTGTCTCACATTACTACACAGATAAAATTCAGGGTTATGGAGAAATAGAGCTTTTGTGTGGATGTTACTGTGAAAATTAAATCCATATTATTTTACATTGATTAGGAGTGACACGAACAATTTTTTCACACTTGGAGCCTTTTACAGTAATCAATAGAATATCCTCTCAGGTAGGAGATAAATCCAAATAAACAACTGGCCTGCATGAGAACAAACTCTGTTGGAACCAGTCTAATATTTTAAGTATCTCGCTCGAAGGGTACCAGGTGGAAGTTTGGAACTTCTTCTTTTTGGAAGGCAGAAAGGAAGATTTAAAAGGCAAAAAAAAAAAAAAAAAAAAMCCCTCTCTAGACAATGAGAGACCAGGAGAAAGACAATGACACAATGGAAAATAAGTCAAAATTTTTGGGAAACAGGCTTACAAGTGCAGTTTGGTGATAAAGAAGTACCACAAAAG